ATAGAAATACCATTAGCGGTAAGTTTAACGGAACATTTTTCAGGCTTTTTTTTTCTTTTATATTCACCTGGTGATCCTGCTAGTGACACACTTCCTGTACTCAGGTGACAACTCTCGCATACTGTACTGTATCTATAGAAGAACAGTGTGGTCAGCCTAGGACAGGAAGTGTGTCAAATAAATACAAAAGGTCTCTAGCACACTTTTAAGCTAGCCAGCAATATAAAAAGTACTTAAAGGGGTTCTAAACCCTCCGCGTTTTGCCTATATCTACTGCTAGCAAGCAGTAGATATAGGCAAACAGTTTAAAAAAAAACCAGCGGTTTAAACTTACCTTGTTTTCTGGAAAAGTGGTTCTGACGAAGGAGGCGTGACCTCGGAAACGTTAACCATCAGGGAGGAAGAGTAGCTGGTGGGCTAAGCCTTTCATGCTTTTACCGTTTCATGCCTTTTTAAACTTAATCCTTTTTGAGTATGTTTTCATCTGTTTAAATTATTTTATTAAAATGTTTTTACGTGATGGAGGCGCTCTGTGTTTTGTTTTTCCAGAATTGAGGTTTCCCTAAAGCCTTTTTGAGAGCCTGCCTCATTCACGGTTCATACAAAGATCACTGCAGATTTTCTCCTTGTTTGGACATAAGCCGCTGGCGCTTTGTTATATACTGTTTACCTTGTTTTCGCTGAGTGCTCCCGCCCGAGAATCCGAAACTGCTCGGGCGGGCGCATGCGCAGTTCGGATTCTCGGCCGGGATGCGAGCAGAGACACAAGGTAAGTCTATGGACAGCGTGCACCCGCATGCAGACACCGTGGGATCAGAAGCGCCAGCAAGCAGTGAGGAGTCAGCGCTGGATCGGAGAGCCGCCGCACCGCTGGACAGATGAAAACATTAAGAGACATGATTTAAGGTAACTGCTGACATTAACATTGGGGGGAGGGAACTTTTTTTTTTATCCTTTAATGTCACTTTAACTGTTTTATCTATTTAGTTTAGGATAAAGTTTCCCAAGTCATCTTCCAGGATGGCATACTTGAGAAATATCCCCACCCACCAGACAGAAAACACAACCCCTAGAACGCTTTAAAAGACAGCCATCCTTACTGCTGCCATTCTCCCTGTTTTTTTTCTTATGTGTTAATAGGCAGTGTGTATAGACCCTCCTTTGCTGAGCTACCAGTGCAATTCTTTATGCTCGTAAGATGTAGTGTGTGTGTGTAGACAAAAACAAAAATGAAAAGTAGCAACAAGGAGCATACTTGTCATTAATTATCAGCAACTGTAAGTACGATACGAGGACCCTTTGTTGAAAATTGAAATATAATCAGATGGTCATTCACCATCATGAGTGCGATGTATGAGTGTGGATGTGCTCACATATGTAATGTCTGCAGAAACAGATTGGTCAGCCAGGGCAAAATTCCAACTGGAGAAATCCTGTTAAGGTGCCCATACACCTTACAATTATCTGGAGATTGTTGTCTGCGATTTGCGTTTTCATCCGAAATCTGATTTTTGTCTTTCAAGCAGGCTAAAAAACTTTTGTCTAGTTGGACGAAAATTGACAGGTTAGTGGCGTTTGTTGTAGAACAAAAATCTCAAGATGCAAACTGCACATGCTCAAACGAAAATCTGTCCTTTTGATCGATGAAAACTGGCCAGGTGGTGGTGCTGGCGAGCGTTAATTGTGAACTACATTGTTCTGTGCATGATGGGCTAGTTGTAAGAGAATTGAACAAGTGTGAGCTGTCTGGACAAAAAAAGTTATACAATGGTTGTAAGGTTTATGGCCACCTTTTAGACCTGAGGCTAAGAGGAACTAAAAATGAAGAAAAGGGGGAATATACAGAAGATACAGTTGTGCTCAGAAGTTTGCATACCCTTGGAGAATTGGTTTACTCGTCTTATACAACGAGTATAGCCCAAAACCTATATTTTTACAAAAAGTGGGGGGTCGTCTTATACGCCGGCAAATACGGTATGTACTATTTTAAAGAAAACATGAGTGAGCTGGCAGAACACTTTTCTTTGTTATGGGATTCATGTTCAACTGTAGGTCATAACAGAATGGCACAATCCTAAAACAAAACATGGCAACAAATCAAAAAATGAAATGACCCCTGTTCAAAAGTCTGCATTCCCTCAGTTCTTAATACTGTGTTTTGCCCCCTTTAGCATCAATGAGAGTGTGCAGTCTTTTGTAATGGCTGTCTATGAGGCCCCAAATTCTTGCAGGTGGTATAGCTACTAATGGAAATAGAGTTACCGGTAAGTCCTAACTCTGAATTTTCGTCTTGGCAAAATGTCTCTAGGTCATGCAAAGTCTTCGGTCGTCTTGCATGAACCGCATGTTTGAGATCTCCCCAGAGTGCCTCGATGAGTCAAGAGTCTGTGATGGCCACTCCAGAACCTTCACCTTTTCCTGCTTTTACCACTGGAGGGTCAACTTGGCCTTGTGCCTATGGTCATTGTGGTGCTGGAAAGTCTGAGCGTCCAACAATGCGCAGCTTTCGTGCAGAAGAATGCAAATTGTCTGCCAGTGTTTTCTGATAACATGCTGCATTCATTTTGCCATCAATTTTCACAAGATTCCCTGTGCTTTTAGAGCCCCTCCCCCCCCCAAAAAAAAAACATCCGTGCGCCACCACCATGCTTCACAGTAAGGATGGTATTCTTGTCGCTATCGGCCTTGTTGACCTCTTTCCAAACATAGCTCTTGTGGTTGTGACCATAAAGCTCTATTTTGGTCTCATCACTCCAAATTACAGTGTGCTGGAAGCTGTGAGGCGTGTCAAAGTGTTGTTGCATATTGTAACCGGGCTTTTTTTGTGGCATTGGCGCAGTAAAAGCTTCTTTCTGGTAACTCGACTATGCAGCTCATTTTTGTTCATGTTTCGGCATATTGTGCTCCTTGAAACAACCACACCATCTTTTTCCAGAGCAGCCTGTATTTCTCCTGAAGTTACCTGTGGATTTTTCTTTGACGAACAATTCTGGCAGTTGTAGCTGCAATCTTTCTTGGTCTACCTGACCTTGGCTTGGTATCAAGAGATCTCCGAATGTTCCACTTCTTAATAAGTGATTGCACAGTACTGACTGGTATTTTCAAAACTTTGGATATCTTTTTTATATCCTTTTCTATCGTTATAAAGCTCCATTACCTTGTTACACAGGTATTTTGACAGTTCTTTTCTGCTCCCCATGGCTCAGTATCTAGGCTGCTCGGTGCATCCACGTGAGAGCTAACAAACTCATTGACTATACACTAGACACGAACTGCAATTTAAAAATCCAAGATGTGGGAAATTAACCTTTTAATTGCCATTTTAACATTTCAGGGTATGTAAACTTTTGATCAGGGCCATTTTGCTGATTTCTGTTATTATCCTTAAACAAAAGACAGATTTTTGGCATGATCAGTCATATTGTCAATATCAATGCCAAAATTTCACGCATTTTGCCAGGGTATGCAAACTTTTGAGCACAACTGTAGATGAGGATAGAATAAGAAAAGAGAATAGATAGGAAGGGAGCAAGTGTTCGAAGGGAAGGTATGAAGCATCTATGAGGGACCAGAGATGGGCCGTTGCAGACACCACCAGGGCGAGAACCCTATGATTATATTTACCTGAGACCTTTATGGCCCTTATACTGTCATTCGACAATATTGGGAGATAGTGAGTTGTCTGTGGAAACCAAATCTTTTTAAATTTGATGACCTTGTCCTGGAGGATAGACACGAGTTTCTCATTGACCCAAATACCATGACATTTTATGTTTAACCTGGGCAATAGTTGGGGCACCAGACCACCAAGCCCTAGCAAAGTACAGATGCAAAAGTTTAAATTGTTTTTTAGTGCAGCCCGTGGGTTGAAGATTGATCAAGACCTAATATGGCTTCTTGGGGATGTAAGGCCATATAAACGAGTGCATCATCAATTAAGTCTAGGGCAATCTCAGCAGGAGGTTACAGATTGCTCCACAGCCCCTGAAGCAGAGATTCAAAGCACCGCACACACATTTTGGACAATCTGTGGGGCACCATATACCAATGAATTAGTACCTTGTAATTGGCTTCATTGAAAGTGGAGTTCAGTGAGCCATATGCTGTGGTGTCCCAGATTTGCAACTGATGCTTCGCTTCTAAAAGGATGCCCACATCACTTTCCCAATATGAAATATACACCGGGGGATATTGTTAATCTAGTTCCAGTAGAGATTTCTAGATCAGGGAAACAGTCCCTTTTATTTAGGGGATTGCAAAACACTTCCTAGACTCTAATAATGCAACCAACACCTGGTTGTGACTAACAGATTATTTGGATTCGAGAGACGTTCACCATATTTATTCCCAGATAATTTTTTTTGTACAAGTCATTCTGAATTGAGAAAGCTGGTCGGATGTCCAGTGAAACGTTTTCAAGAAAAATACAGCAAGTCCAATTGTCTTGACTTATTTTTTACAGATATAGCATGACCTGGATGAATGAGAACCTTCACAGACAACAGCTTTTTTTACATTATTCCTTTACCTTTCCTTGCTCAGTCACCACTTGGTAGTGCGCTTCTGTATTTTTTGTCTTGGCTATTGCACCAGCCCACTATCTGCTGTATTTACTTTCAGCAGCCATTCATTTCAGTGGCACCCCAAATGCGCCTTCCACCCACACTGTGATCGCCCTCACTGGAACGCATGGTACTGCAATGCTGTGTGTTTCAGTGCAGTGCGATTGCAAAATATTGTGCATGAAGTTTTATTCTGAAGTAAACTTTGTAACACTGCATTTGTGTATTTTATTTTAAATTAAGGTGATATATATTTTTTAATTAGATTAATCGAAAAAATTATCGGGCAACTTATCGATTATAGAAATAATTAGTTGCACCCCTAATATGTTTGTGATACCCAATAAATACACCAGCTTCATTTAATGTGTATTATTTTTCACTGTAGCTATTCTTGAGGATTGACACCTGATCTATTTTTCTTTTATTTGATGACAGGTTTTAGGCAGCCCTGGAAATAACCTCCATGAGGTGGAGACTGCAGAGGGCGAGAAGTTTTTAGCCAGCATGCCCACCAAATTCAGGAAGAACATTTGGATCAAGAGAGGTAATGAAGTGTAACACTAAGCTATAGGATCTCCAGTCTGCAGATATAACTACAATGGTGCCCATATAGTTTATTGTGCAGTACAGATAATAATGAAGATAACTTTCTGCTGCCCAACATGAGTTTTTTGCTGAAAGGAAATATTTGTTGCATGATACATGGAGTTTGCCATTTCTGACTTCTCATTCTGCAAATATGAGTTCCCTGGTTGTCAAGCTGACCCTTTGAGTCACAGACTTAAAACAAGTGTGTAGGTTAGGACTTCTGACTTTCCTGATCTGCATACTTGTTCTGGTCGGTGATTGCCATCAAGGGGTTACATCACTCAGTAGCTTTACTCAGAGATTACAACTACCCATGCTTATTGAACCCTAATGGGTTGCCTACATGATTATTTTAGTGATTATTTTAATCACTTAAAGTATATAATTGCATTCCCTGTTGGCAATTGTCTCATTTGCTGTGGTTTCAACTAAGGGCATATTGGCTAAGAAGTTGGCTGTTTGTCTTGAAACCGTGGGTCCTAGGTTTAATTCCAAGTAAGGACACCAGTTACATGGCGTTTGTTTTTTTTTAATTCGTTGTGCTTTGTTTTTTGTAGATGTATATGAGCAGTAATTAAAGTGGACTGTGGGATATTTTTGTGGGACAGAGACTAATCTGATTAGCAACGTGCCCTAGAAAAAGTTGAAACTATATGAATGCGTAAAATGATACACTGCACACATGTACACATGTATACATACTGATATGACACACTCAGAAACATTAACACACATACTGACATTCAGACAAATCACAAAAAAATATACGACATTGCAAACAAAAATCATCACAAACAAATGTGCAGACATTAACACTGGTACCGCATATAGTTAAAATGTGTTTTGAAGTATGCCATTTTATTAAATTTGGCAAGCGGCCCCCATGGTAGAAGAAAATTTGTCCAGTGGACTCCAATTGAATAGCATATGAGACCCCTGCTCTAGGATAATAGAAATAGCTAAACAATAGTTGGAAGGAAAGCTGCATCAACGCAGCTCTCCAGCAATGCAGTAATAGGCCCATGTACGTTGTGTCCTGGACTATTTTTTATTTTTGGGGAAGGAAGCTGCACTTTTTTTTTATGTATTCTAAAACTGTTAAGAAATGGGGCTAAAAAGGAAAAAAAATGGAAAATTGGTTACTAGAAAAGTGTGAGAAAAGAATATATTTGGATATCTACCACATGTGAATCAGAGTTACACCTGGTAAATTGGGTACTAGCAGACTGTTATGTTGTGATTTGAGTGGTATAAAAATCTTGGTGGATTATTAATAATAGGGTGATGTCTGAATTTTATAGTTAGATTCAGTAGACAGTGCCTCCAGCCGATTATGGCAAATAATAAATAACTTAATAAACGGTATGAATTTAGTTCAGACACTTAATACACCCCAAAATCAATTCTCTGAGTTCTTTGAGCTTACGGTGATTTCTTGCCACAATATATAAATATCTCCCAATTAAATTAATAAATCAAAATAATTTATTAATATACAAGTATAATCATATATTTCTGTACAAAACTTAAATTACTGGTGATTACAATTCATATACACAATCGAAGAAATAAATGGAAATAAATTATCAGAATATTCAAATAAAAATACCTAATCACCCTTAAGACAGTTTCTCACTTTCCGCGGCCGCAGGAAAGAAAGATACGCATCTCAAAAGTAAAATTTCTCTTGCGATTTTCTAACGATTTCTGAAGACACTAGGTTTACTAGTCTAATAGGAACAACAAGCAAACAGGCAAGTATACCTATAATAGCAAACTAGTTACACACAGATCTGTATCCAATTTAACCATACACAATACAATCTCAGAAATGGAAAAAGATATGGAAAGATTATCAGAATAATTCACCCTGCACACTGTTAATAAGAGTTGTAAACAAAAACACTAATAATAAAATATAACCGCTATGATTTTAGAATAAAGAAAGTTTAATTTTTTATATATAATCTGTATCTCACCAATCCTTCAAAAGAAAAATGTTCAGAGTCTTATTGGATGAGATGATGGCTCGTTGTAGGCAGCAAGGGTTAGAGGTCTTGGCAATGATCAATGAGTGGCAGTCCTTTTGGTATATCCAGCAAGTCTTCAGCGGTCTTTCTTTTTTTCTTTTCTCTCCTCCTCTTTCTTTTTTCTTTTCTCTCTTCCCTCCTATGGTATTTTATATGGTTGGGAAGCATTGTTCGTATTGACGACTCCCCAGCCACTATTTACTTTCTTCAAATTGATCGGTTCAGAAATGGGTGGTAACTGGTCATTTCACTTATATTGTCTGCACTCAGTTGAGTAAACCTTGGGTGTGTTGGATAACTTACTCAACCTTGATAATTTTGGAACAATAGGGTAAATTAACTGTCTTGGAGTTTTTATGTTTCTTGGTTCATTTTTCATATGTAGACAAGATATTCTTAATCTGGGTCTTTCTTGATTCATTACTTTTATTTACTGTTCTTGAAGTTAAGGGTCTCTCAGCATTGTCAATTGTGGTTGAATGGTTACCCAGGCTTTCAACTTCATTTGCAATGTTTACCTCTTTGAATAAATCTTGTTAGTACAAAGACTAGTTCCTCAAGGCTCTTTTCTCTATTGTTTGTTCATTGCTTAGTCTTGTACGCAATAGGCTATTTTGGTTAATTTATCTGTCCAGCATAGACTTCTGGCCCCTTGTTGACTGCACAGAAAAGCTTGATTTCGTTTTTGTAAAATTCAAAGTTCATCAGTTTTTTTTTGTAATTTTCTATAGAAGTACCCTTACAGTTATGAGGGCAGAATATATTCAGATATCTACCGGCTGCAAAATCTTGCATTTTATGGAAAAATGCCAGCACATGTAATCAGATTTTTCTCTCATAGGAGATTATGTTATTGTTGATCCGATTGCTGAAGGAGAAAAGGTGAAAGCTGAAATATCCTTTATCATCTATAAGGATCATCAAAGACTTCTACAGAAAGAAGGCCTTTGGTAACAATCTTTTGTAATGTTAAAGAATTTTACTGAACTATAGAACGTTGAAAGTATTGGCAGTATTTTTCCTTGTTTCTGGACATTCTTTAACCCCTTCATGACTGGAGATGTACACTGTATGTCCCCAGCATGAAGTGCTCAAATGATTGACCACTTACATTGTACATGATCAGTTATTTGAAGCTTTTAAAAGCCGGTAACTGCTGAGATCAGCAGTTACTGTTCATTGATGGATGCCGCAGTATTGACTATCCATTAATAAAGGAATTTAAGCTTTTGTATAAGCTTAATTCTTTCATCAATGAAATAATTAATTTTTTACAGATACCTGATCGCTGTTAGCGATCGAGTATCTGACAGTGACAACAGAGCCGTGTGAACGGCTCTGCTGTATCACTGTTTTGACAGCTCTGCACAGATCGGGATGTGTGCTGGCTTATTGCTACATATTTCTATGCTTCCTAGAAATCATCTGTAGTAAAATGAAACATTTGTATCGTAATAAAAACATTGTATCAGACTTCTGATTGTTGGGGGGGGGGGGGGGGGCTGAAATGTAAAGAAATAATAATTTAACAAAATAAAAATTATATAAACAAATATATTTTATCCTATAATTATTGTACAAATTAACCCCTTACAATGAAAATCTGCAGCTTTGTTTTTCACCCTAAGGGGTTAATTTTTCTATTTAACCCTCTCATGACGGCGTTGTTCAAAGTATGTCACTGTCACTAAGTGTGACAGTTATTGACACTAAGGCTGGGTTCCCACCTGGGCGTTCGAAATATGCGCGTATGACGCGAGTTTTGGGCCACGTGTTTTTACCGCGATTTGCGGTCCACGAAATGCGAGTTATGAGGGCTATCCGGCTGTATCCTAATGGATACGCGCAGAAATACGCCCCAAAGAAGTTCCTGTACTTCATTGGGTGTAGGGCATTTTTCAGCGCGTTCCGACGCGCTGAAATACGCCCAGGTGGGAACCATGCCCATAGGAAATAATGGGATTTCATTTGCTGGGCGTTTTACAGCGATTCGATCAGCACTGTAAAACGCCCAGGTGTGAACCCGGCCTTATTTACAGTGACATTGTAGGCCACCTAACCACTATTGGGTTTTAGAGAACATAAAATGTTAGCTTTTTGTTTTTAGGCCCAGAAGTACAAAACAACATTCTCAAATCCTAGGGATGTGAGGTGTTTCCAAATAAAGGACAAATAAATACATTTCTTTTAATGCATTTTTTTTTTTAGCTGTACTACTTTTCTAAAAAACAATAATCAAAACTGGGGAAAAAGTGTTTTCTTTACGGTTTTTTTCCTCCTTTTTTTTCATATTTTATTTGTCCTAAGCGAGGTGTTAGGCACACATATGTGATATAAATATGTAGCCCTATCTGTCCTCTAAAACAACAAAATATAATGTGTGGGTGCACTTTGTAAGAATGTATATTACTGCTGTGGAAGAATCACACAGCAAAAATTTAAAAAGTGCTTCAGTCATTAAAGAACAGGAACTGAAAAAAAAGCTGTCATGAAGGGGTTAAAAAGGAGTGATATTATTTTCTTAAAGGAGAACTATGGGGTTAGGGCTTTTCCCCATAGTTCTCCTTAGGGTAACGGGAGGACACAAACTAGCGTCCTCCCGTCACCCTAAGCTCAGTATACCGCGAGCTACAGCTCGCGGTATACTGAGACGCTGAAGCGGATCCCGACAATTATGTCTGGATCTGCCCAGCTGCATGAGTGACAGCTGGCTCTGCCTATCTAGAGGCTGTACCCGCCCCCTCCCCTGTCCGTTCCGCCAGTCAGCGCTGGCGGATAGGAGGGGGGGGGGAATCCAGCCCCTCCCCTGTCACGGCAGAGAGATGGGACAGGATCGAGAGGTGAGTGAACGCCGGTATGTGTTCGCTCACTTCCCGATCTTCTGAGCCGACCTGTGACAGTCTCATTGTCACAGGTCGGCTAGAACTATGAGGTGAGTGAAAAGCACTCGCCTCATAGTTCTCCTTTAAAGTGAATCTGTGCTTTGCCATTGCAGGGCAGCGCAACAGGTCCACTTAAATGCCAGCTCCATCCACCGCTTATACATACATTGTACATTTTTATTTTTAGGCCAGCTGCGTTCAGTAAAGAAATCGAAAATGATGCCAAGGGCAAAGAGAGGTGAGATATGTTATTTGCATTGTTTAATATATTATGGGATCAGGAAGGAATTGTTTCCCCTGTTGGAGCAAATTGAACCATG